CCTTTGGTTCATAGGGTTGTGTATGATAACCACTTTTATTCCCAGGCTTTGTGTTTCTGTACCTTTGTTTTCTCTTCCTCTCTTTCCGGGAGGCTGGTAGGTCAGACTTTGTTATTAGGTTTGGCATTGCCTGACTTTCCTTTCCTTTTCTTCTCTGCCTCGCTGTGACTGGGATTTGTTTTTTCCTGCCCTCCATATTGTAATGTATTTGTTTTATACACTCAGTACATTGCCATGTTACTGATTTCAATAGAGCACAACGAGACACATTTCCCCTTTGAGATATCGTTTGTAGATTCTCTCTAGTGATTCTTGGGTTCTGGTCCGATTCTTCCTCTTCCATCCCCAAGAAAGAAATGATGGAGTGAGCAAGACTCCCCCAGGCCCAGATCTCAGCTCACACACACAGAGAAAATGCAGCTGTCCCCTTTGCACATGCATAGATTATAAAGCTAGAAGGTACCACTGAGCCTCCTGCATAACTTGGGGTGGAGGGGGGGGGGAGGAGCTGCAGAACTTCCTTGAAATAATTCCTGTTTGAATGAGACCATGTCTTTTAGACAAACATCTAAGCTTGAGTACAAAATTGCCCATGATGAAGATCCATCACAACCTTTGGAAAGTTGTTGCAATGGTCATATGCCCTCACTGTTCAAAGTGTATGTCTTACTTCTGGTTTGAATCAGTCTGGCTTTAATTTCCAGCCATCCCAAAATCAAGGAACACAGCCACATCACCTCCCAACTTCAAGCTACTCTATAGGCTCCACGTTCACTTCATGTTGCAGTTCAAAAAGTTCCTCCATCAGCCCAGCCTTGCACTCATTATCCAACATCTCTCAGGGTATGTCTACACTACAGCGCTAATTCGAACTAATTTAGTTCGAATTAGTTAATTCTAAGCTAATTCGAACTAACGCGTCTAGAACTAAAAACTAGTTCGAATTAGCGTTTTGCTAATTCGAACTAGCATGTCCACATTAAGTGGACCCTGAACCAGGCTTAAGGATGGCCGGAAGCAGTGCCGGCAGGGCATCAGAGGAGGACTTAGAGCATGGAGATGCTGTCTCGGGCTAGCCGAGGGCTGCGCTTAAAGGGTCCCAACCCCCACACTGGAAAGACAGTTCTAAGGGGTGCCCCGCTTGCAAAGCAGTCCTGGCTTGGAGTGCCCGGACTACCCACACTGGGCACATCACACCACTCGGCCATCAGCCTGGCTGCACTTGCCGCAGGCTGCCATCTGGGGAGAGGGGACAATTGGGGGGCTGCAGGAGAGCTTCCACCCCCAGAAGCCCGCAGAGCCAGCCCAGTCCTCCCCATCGGGGGCTCGTACCCCATTCCTCCCTCACCTCCTTCCACTTACCCTTCCCTAGCCCCTCTTCTTGATGTACAAAATAAAGATAACGTGTCTTCCAAAATGGAATCTGTCTTTATTGAACAAAACTGGGGGAGACTGGGAAAAGGAGGTGGGAGAGGGGAAGAGAGAGGCTAGGAGAGGGGAGGGCAACTAAAATGATCAGGGGTTGGGAACAGGTCCCATATGAAGAGAGGCTAAAGAGACTGGGACTTTTCAGCTTAGAAAAGAGGAGACGGAGGGGGGACAGGATAGAAGTCTCTAAAAGCAGGAGTTGGGTGGAGAGGGTGCATACAGAAAAGTTCTTCATTAGATCCCATAAAAAGGGACTAGAGGACACCAAAGGAAAGGAATGGGTAGCAGGCTTCAAACTAGTAACAGAAAGTTCTTCTTCACAAAGCAAAGAGTCAACCTGTGGAACTCCTTGCTGCAGGAGGCTGTGAAGGCTAGAACTAGAACAGAGTTTAAAGGGAAGTGAGATCAAGTCATAGAGGTTGG